CCTTTGATTCAGAAAGTCGCAAATATGGACATGGGAAACTCTTCTTCTGACTCACCCTTGGACTACGAACGAACTGCTCTCAATCCTTTGATTCAGAAAGTTGCAAATATGGACATGGGAAGTTCTTCTTCACAACCCTCTGCATGGGGTAAGGTTGTAGCTTCTTCTCCCTCTAGGACTTCTAACTGGACACACTGGTCAAAACCTGAGGCCTGTGATTTAAGGGAGTGGATCAACCATCACTTTGTCAAGTTTACTGACCCTTTAGAGTTTCCTTCTTATACACGAAGCTCGGTGGTCTATCCCTACATGCCCATTGACCATTGACGCAGTTCGGAGGAGAATCTGCTTGTGGCATGGCATACATCCTCCATACCTACAAAGATAGTGCACGCCACCAGACGCCTCGAAGAGGCACAAGGGTACAATCCATCATTCTTAGCCTAGAAGGCAAAACTTTGCTCTTCTAACTGGCTTGATTATATTAATGCCCTTGTTCCTTCTGCCCTTGCTCCATCTCTTGAAATAGAAGCATCCACACCTTCTTCTCCGCCAAATCCTTGCTGGACAAAGAGACTGAGGCTTGCCCTCTCCATGGATAAGGTCTTTCCACTTTACAAACCTCCACCTTCCCTTTCTCCAGCTGAGGGGAAGCAAGCTCAACTTCTGCCCGTGACTTTCTCTCACTTGCCCTTCAATGTTCTTGAGGACGAAGTCCGTCTCAAGAACCTTCGATGGGCTTGTGATATCCTGACTCGGGGTCATGTCCTCAATCCCCTCGCCCAAGCAGAGCTTCACATGTTTTTGGACCAACTTCCATTGCTCTCCACTGGCATCGGACCTCTATGGCCACTACACAATCTTTAAACCAACTCTCGTCCCTTTGAGTTTATGCCCAGTACGAAGCAGAGAACGTCATTGAAGAATTCGATGATTTCAAGAATAAAGATTTTGTGTACTGGGATGACTTGGATATAGACGAATTGGAACAAGGATTGAGAGAAACAGCATTCGAAATAAAGGCTGAAGAGCTCTTCTATGAAGTGAGAGCACATCAACTTCAGCAACCAATCCTAGAAGAAATAGAAGATAGAATAAAGAAAGAACAGAAATTCATTGATCATAGTTGGACCAAATTTCATGATCTTATTATTTATTCTATTCTTACTTTTATGAACTTGAATTTGTACCCAAAGAGGGCCATTCGATGTAATTGCTTTTGCTTTAATACAACTAAGACTTTTCTCTTTGTTTGGCATTGTTTGATCTTGTCCCCGTTTGTCTTTAAAAGCAAATTTAGGGCTTCGAACTGAACAATCTTATCCTTCGAATTTGGACTCAATTGTTTTAAATGAAAAACCAAAAAAAAAAACCAACATAAACTTTTCCAATTTATGAAATAAAGTTAACAATTTTTGCTGATTTTCATTTAGAATTAGTGCTTCGAATTTAACAATCTTACCCCTTAAAGCTTGTTTTAATCATAACCAACATGTGGTCATGGTTAGTATGATCAACCATTTTAAATTGACCATTTTTGCTTCGAAGAACAATCCATGCAGTTTTTAGTCTAGAAATAGAATCTTTCTTAAATATATATAAACCAATTAATGGTTTTGATGTTTCGAACAGCAATTCCCATCCTTAAGGGATCTCAAATTTTGCTTTGAAATACATTACTTTCATTGAGAAACCTAAAACAGGTCTTTAATCCCTTCGAAATAAATGAATACTTGAGTATTCTTACATCCATAGGTATGAAATGTACTTTGAAGTTGGCTTCTTAGTTTCGAAGCCGTTTATTATTTGACTTTTGGCGCCAAAATCTGGTTTCGAAGCCAAATATTATACTTCGAAGCTGGCTTCAACGTCTGGGATGTGTTTTTCCCTCTAAAAGTATCAATATTGAAGGAAACTCTTCGTATTTGTACTTTTAGTACTTAACGAATCACGCGATATATCTTTCAGACACAAAGGTTTTTAAAACCTTTTTTATTCCGTGCTCTGAAATCACTCACTCGCTCAAAACATAATCCCTTTCCTCTGTTAACCCCCTCTTCCTTGCTTCTTCCTTGCTGCTTGCTATCAATGGATTCTTCTTCTCTGAAAGTGCTTGCAGGTGATCGTATAAGCCCAACCATGGCTTTGAAAAGATGTATTGATGAAGAGATCGCCAAGTTAACAACTGATGAGTCACGCGTCATAGACGGCCGCCTCTTCGTTCTTCGTCACAGCAACAAACAAGAATACGTCTTAGGTCCCATCTTTCGAGAGGCTCCTGCTCAGCTTCCAACTTTATACCCTCGTCTAGAAGACCATTTTCGTCTCTACGAAGGAGGGCTTGACTGGGGAAATTGGAGAGTAACCCGACCTCATCGCTGCTGGCCGACATTGAGAGTTGAATGGGAAGAATGGTATGACAGAGTTGTACCTGCGCGAGAAGACGACCTGCAAGAGCTTTGCATTCTCGATGCCCTTCGTCTTTCTAGGTTTATCATTCCTAAAGACCCTTTCTTGATTCCCGCTGCTCTTTGTTTTTGGAACATGGCTTTCAATTTTTTCCAATTTCGGCGTGGTATGATGGCTCCCACCGTCCTTGATATTTGCCATCTTTTAGGACTTTCACCCCTTGGCTTTCCTTTCACTCCCGGCTATCCAGACCTCCCTGTTAAGTTCTCCTTTCCACCTTTAAACTCTTCTTATAGTGATTTTGTAAAGGCCGAAAATAAAAGGGTAGGTCCCGTGAGAGATAGAGAACTTTTTTCCTTCATTTTGTACTGGTTGTACAAATTTCTCTTTTGTACATCATCTCAGAGGATTTTGCCTGAGTTCGCTCCACTTGTGAAGGCACTTGTTTTGAAAAAACGCATAGCCCTGGCTCCTTATCTCTTAGGCCATGTTTACAGAGCCTGTTCCCAATTTTGTGAGAAACCTCTTGATGCGAATCAAGGGGGTCCCTTTTGGGTGCTCAAACTCTGGCTCTTTGCTTACTTCAATGATTTGTATCCCAAATGCTTAAAATTCATTGTTCAGGACCCAAGCACTTATGGGGAAAAATATGCCAGAGTTGTTCTTTATCATGCTTCCTTTGCTTATTACTTCACATTTTTTCACCAACTTCCTATTTCTCCGCCTACTACTTTCTTCTACCCCTTTGATGCCAACAAAGGACCTGCTTGGCTATGAACATTCTTAGCTGATAAAGAGTGCTCTACCTCACCCCACAAAGGCATGTGGGCTTCTATTTTGCTGCCGAGGGAGCTGTTCATTGGCACTTTAAACCCTCGAGCTTATAAGTGTATAGCTGAGGTGTACTGTCCTTCTCAATTTTCTAGGCAATTTAGGTTAACTCAGGGGATTCCCATTCCACTCTGCAGTCTCTTGAATGTTCATCTTACAGCTAGAGACCTGAGAATACCCAAATCAAAACTGGAAGAAGCAACATTCAAACTGTTGAAAGAAATGAGCGAGTTCAAATTTGTCCCATTCCTTCCTTCTGGCCTGGCTCTGAAAAGATTTCAAAACTGGTGGACAGCTAATATGGAAGTGCGCCTATCCGTACACCCTCGTGACTTACTGATAGGGTTAGGAGTGGCTTCGAAGGCCAAATCAACAACAGTTGAGAACATCCCCTCTCTTTCTACGGCTGCCAAAACTGCTCCTACAGCCTCCATCCTCTCCTGCTAGAGTTACCAGAGCTGCTTTAAAGAGGGGTAAGTATTTTCAGGCTTCCCCTTAGACTGTTTTCTTTGTTTCCTTTACATTCATACCTCTTGGTGCAGGGTCTCCACAAGAAGAATCTCCTCAGAGAGTTGAAATCCTAATTACTCTCAAGGACAAACAAAAGCAGAAAAAGAAAAGGAAGCTGATACTCACTCCTGAGGAATCTGAATCCCAGATTGAAGAAGAAGAGATTGAAAAAGAACAGGAAGTACCATTATAGAGGAGAAAGATTGAACAGATGAATGTTTCTCTTTTGATTGAAGATCCCACTCATGAGACAGCTGCCAGAGTAGTAGAAGAGGAACTTACTTCTGAGGGATCTGAATCCCAGGTCGAAGGGAGAGAAATTGAGAAGGAACAGGCAAGACCAATACAGAGAAAAAAGAGAAGGAAGATGATTGTCTCTGCTTCTGATTTGGTCGAAGACCCTATTCATGATGCAGCCTCCAAGGCAGTAGAATAGGAACATTCTAAGGCCTTAGTTGTCTTTGAGAGAGCTGAAAAGAGACAGCGGCAGCAATTCTTAAGAAATGAAGACAGCGGCAGCAATTCTTAAGAAATGAAACTGCAAGAAGGCAACATATTGCTGAGCACTATTCCCTTCGAAGCCCTCCTATTGCTGCTATTCTGAAACAAGTAATTTATTTCATGCTTCTACTGTTTCCCCCTTATCAAATTTTTGGTATTGAAACTTGACATTACTTTACATCTCTTCTTTTGCAGCAACAACTACTGAGCCTATTTTTCCAATAAGGACTCCCTCAGTTTCAGTTGAAGTTGGTCAGATGCAAAATGTGAGGACTATTTAGATAATACTTCCACTTCCTAGGCCTACATTCAATGTATCCTCCTTTAGGCCAAGTATTCCTGCATCTCTTTCCTTTGGATTAAATTCGTATCTTCCTTACTTATCTTTGGATCTACCTCAATTCAGTTCTCTTTCGAGCCTTGCTCTTCCCCTTCCTCCTAAGGAAATTTCAACTGCTACTTCATCTATGATGGTAGCTGATTCCCCTACAGAAGGTGCTGGTAGCTCTCCAACCCATAGTTTATTACCTTTACCTACTTCCAGCCCTTCTTCCCTTGACATATTGGTGGCTAGGACCATAGAGACTACTGAAGATGCTCCACCCATTATTTCTCCTATCCCTATGCGGTCCTTTGTGCCTTCTACCACTACTCTTTCTGCACCCCTTATGTCCTCGGATGAGGTAGATATCTTCGAAGCAAGACTAGTCAGTCTCTTCGACATGCCTTCTACCTCTCCAATAACTAATGATGAGGCTGAGCCATTAGTTCGGGCTGATTCCTTGTTAGCAATTCTTGAGAGCTCCTCTTCCTCCAGTAATAAGCCTTTTGCACCTCTAATAGACTTAGAAAAGCTGTCTGGAGTTATTGACATCATTTTCAAGGATTCCTTTCGAGGCTTTACAGAGGCCTATAATAAGAAATGGCTTCCTTCAGTGCTGCAAAGTTGTTGAGCAATCCAGTATAACTGTCTCAGGTCATCTATCTCAGGCAGCAGCTACTATTGACTTTTACATCAACATTTGTTATGCTGCCAAGGCTGCAGAGGAGAAATCAGTGAGAGACCAGAGCTTTGTTTCCATAGTACATGCTGAAGTCTCCGGGCTAAAGGAACAACATTCCTCTGTCTCCCATTTTCGAACCCAACTACTGGAGAGGAAAGCTCAACTTGAGGAGGAGCTATTTGCAGTGAACCAGGCCTTAATCCGAACTAACACTAAACTACAGATCACCAACCAAGGACTGGCCGATCGAAAGCAAGAAATGACCATAGCCATTCAGTTGTTTTCTTCATTTAATAATAGGAAGTCTGTTGTAAAAGAACAATTAAGGCATTGTAATGATTTCTGGGCCAATTTATGACACAATGTATTCAACTCTTTATGAAAAAACAAATTCTGATTTATCATTTGAGTACTCTTATGTTCTTTTGCTTGACATTTATTCTGTTCCCTGTGTTTTCCAAATAGTTGGAAAATAAGGCTTCAAATATCTGCTATTAATCTTTTTGGGATGTATGTATCCATTTAATTTTCTCAAATGGTATGCTGCAAAAGGCAGGACTCTATGAATTTGATATGGTTCTTCCTAGTTAGGTGACCATTTACCAAACTTATGGCTCTTAATTCCTATTGGGAGTTTTGTCTTTCATACCTAATCACCTTCATCGAAGCCAATGCGTTTGACTTTCTGATTGTAATTTTTGGCTGCTTTCTTCTTTCGAAAGAGAATGCTATTCAATGCCAAAATTCTGGCTTCATCTATGCCTTTTAATTCCAAGCACATACTCTGATGGCATTGCTCAGGATCTAGCTGGTCTTGGCATCTTACCCTCAAAGACTTAACATTAATTTCCACAGGCAACACTGCATCATGCCCATACACCAAGGCATAAGGAGTAACTCTTGTGCTTGACCTTGGGGAAGTTCTATAAGCCCACAATACATCCAACAATAAGTTATGCCAATCCCTAGGATTGTCTTCCATAACCTTTTGTATTCCTTTTTTCAAGGACTTGTTGGATGATTCAGCTTGACCATTGGCTTGTGCATAATAGGGGGTGGAATTCACAAAGCTAATTCCAAACTCTGCCACAAAAGACTTTACCATTTTCCCATCAAACAGAGTCCCATTATCAACAGTTATAGTCTATGGGATACCAAATTTGTGGATTAAATCTTTAATGAATCCAATAACCTCAGTTTGGTCTACAACCTTGTATGGCTTAGCTTCGACCTATTTAGTGAAGTAATCAGTGACCACTAAAATGAAACAATGATGCTTCGAAGAGGGTGGGTGTATTTTCCCCATCATATCCATGGCTCATCCTCTAAATGGCCAAGGCTATACTACTGCATGCGGGTCAGTTATGGGCACATGCCTTATTGTTCCATGCTTTTGGCATGCCTAGCTACCCTTTGCATATTCTATGCAGTCTTTGAGGATAGTTGGCTAATAGTAGGAATACCTTCGAAGCAACCATCTCATTTTCACACCAGGCTGATGAGCACCACAGATGCCTTCATGAACCTCAGCCATAGCTGTTAATACTTCTTTTGGGCCTAAACATTCCAGCAATAAACCATCTCCCCCCCTTTTGTAGAGAGAGCATTGCTATATATGATGTATTGCATAGATTGCAATTTAATTTTTCTGCTGGCCTTCGAGGATGGGCCAGCCAAGTACTGCATTATTGGATGCTTCCAATCTTGTTCCTGTAAGTCATTGTGATTGACTTCCAGGACCACATTCATTTTATTTAAGAGTGGTATAGATTTCTGGTATGTTGTTTGGCTTATGTCCCTCTGAGTATTATCCTTCCTCTTGAAATTCAAAGCTTTCTGAGCCACATCATTAGCTCTATTATTCAAGAATCTTGGGACATGAGTTA